CCCAATCTCTTCAGCCTGGCCATTCCCCTGCCTGAGGTCTTGGAGCTCTACCATCCCGAAAGGAAAATTGCTAGTGGCAGTTGAACAAAGCAGGTTTCAAGACATGAGATAGGCACCTTTCTCCAGAAGTTAGGGTGTGTTAAGCCTGCTGAGATCTCACCGTTAGATAACACACTAATTTCTACAACACCTGTCGGCACTAGCCCTTCACAACATCTTCAGTCGACAACAGTATCCTAGGAATAGCACTCTAACATCACTTAAACATAAACCAAACTCACTGCTATTGAGTTGATTCCAACTCACAGCGACCCTTTAGGACAGGGTAGAACTACCCCGTGAGTTTCCGAAACTAACTCCCCCTCCCCCACTCCCCTGAAACTAACTTTTTACGGGACTAGAAAGCCCCATCTTTCTTCTGCTGAGCGGCTGGTGATTTCGAACTGCTGACCTTGCAGTTAGCAGCCCATACGCATAGCCACTACAGAAACCTGGCAAAGACTGCCCTGGAAACGTACTTGCAGTCACTAGACTTCAACCGAGTTCCCAGCCATTCACCATCAAGTTTTCTCTCCTCTAACCCAAGTAGCCCTACGTGGGAAGGTTTTTGCCCTGGGAATTAATGTTAATAATAATAAGAAGCCTTTTTGGAATGGTTGCTGTGTACTAGACACATTGTTTTATGCACTTCACTTAATTCTCATGCTAATCCTATGAGATGGAACCACCCCCCACCCGCCCTTACCCACCCAGACCCCCCAAATTGCTCTCATCAAGTCGATTCTGACTCCTAGCAAGCCTATAGCACAGAGCTGAACGTCTCCCTTTGGGTTTCCATTTGACGGGTGAGAAAATGGAGGCACAGAGCAATTTCGTAATTTGACCAAGAGTCAACTAATGCTAGAACTGGGTTATGAAGCCATGTAATCTATCACTGGAATCTTTGTCCTTAATTCAGTGTATCTTGCCTCCTGGGAAGTTCAAGGAACCTGGTGGCCTCCTCAGTGGCCCCCAAGGGAGTAAGTTAAGCACAGGAGGAAGGCCACCAGGCTGGGCTGGTGGCTCTGTGAGGGAACAGGCAGGCAGGCTAACTCTGAGGCTGAGCTAGATCTAGAAAGGGCTAAGCATGGCCAGGCTGGTGGGCCCACCGCAGAGGGGGAAGCAGTCTGTTTGCCTCCAAGCAGGATCCTTTGTCCTCACTGCTGCCCTAGGTAAGGAGGATGTTGCTATGACGAATGGGCCCAGGTCTGTGCTCCGGCTCCTGAGGTTAATAGAGCTGGTGAGGCTGTCCTGCACCTACCATAGACCGGGGCCTCAGCCACACACCTTGGGATCCAGGTCTGGTGCTGCGGGGGGAGGAGTGGGAAGGAGAACGGAGAAAGGGCTGAGTGTCAGGACTGGAAGACATCCCTGAGCGACAAGTCTGCCATCAAGCTCATTGTCAGAAGAAGGGGTAATGTGCCTCTGGGATAATAAAATCTAGTCCCTGTTTCCCTTCTCTAAACCTCAGGCGTGACATCCATAAAATGGGACTAATAGAAACTAGCCCCCAGTGGCGTTGTGAGGAATACATGAGACAATACGCATAGGGCAACTTCATGCATGCCAGCTCAGCACACAGTGGGTGTCATCGCATTAGCAGTGCCCTGAGTCAGTTACACCAAACCAAGCACACTGCCATCCAGTCAATTCTGACTCGTGGTGATCCTGTAAGACGAGGTAAAACTGCCCCTGTGAGTTTCTGAGATGGTAACTATTGAAAGGAGTAGAAAGCCCCATCGTTCTCCCTTGGAGCTGGCTGGTGATTTCAAACTTTGAACCTTGTGGTCAGGAGCTCAATGAGTAACCATTATGCCACCAGGGCTCCTTTGAGTCAGTTATGGGTGAATGAATATGTCGAGTGATATGCTATGGGGCTCAATCCTGAGCAAGAGCCCTGCCTGGTGGAACCATAGTTAAGTGCTCAACCGCTAACAGAAAGGTTTCTGGTTCGAACCCACCAGTGGCTCCACAGGAACAAAGACTGGGCAATCCACTCCTGTTAAAAAGGACAGCCTGGCAAATGCTAAGGTAGTTCTACTGTGGCCTGACAGTGCCTGTGAATCAGAATTGACTCGCCATCCTGAGCAACCATAGTAATGGTGGAGCGGAAGCCTCAAGGAGCAGGCTAGATGTAAAATGGGAGCGCTTCGACCATTCTTCTATCTTTCCAGCAAGGCTAGCTGGGCGATAGGAAGATTCCAAACCATTCCAACAGGCTAGAACAACAAGCAAGATGACAGTACTCTGCTTCAAGACACTGCACAAAGCAAAGGATGGGGGAGAGACGGAGCGGGGGATGGGGTGGCAGGAGACCTGACTTGACCCTAGCGCTGGTGAAAAGGATCTGAATAATTTTCGTTGACCACAACCTGATGGGAACTGATCATGGGAGAGAAAGGCTCCAAAGCCCAGCAGTCTTAGGCTGCATTAACAATGTGTCGTGTCCAGACTGGGGGGAAGAATAGGCCCATTGTGCTGGCTTGATCAGGCCATATCTGGAATCTTGCATTGCTACATTGACAGGCTGGAATTAGGCCAAAAGTGGGGACCAGCCTCAGCTCCCAGGCACTTGTGCTAAGTAAGCTCTTCCTGTGCACGTTCTCATTTCATCCCCAAAACAACACTATCAGGTAGGGACTATTAATATCTCCATCTGACACACAGGAAGGTCAATTGAGCTGCCCAGGATCCCCTGCACTGCTGGTAAACAGAGAGGCCTGAGGCTCTATCCTTGTGCCCGAGAAAGGCCAAGCACCCATTCACTGGACACATATTTGTGAAACTCCGACCGAAGCTTGGCACTTCAGACCCGCTCAGTGGTATCAAAAAAGAAAGCTCAAGCCCAAGTCAATTCCGACTCCTAGCGACCCTCTAGGGCAGGGCAGAACTGCCCCCGGTGGGTTTCTGAGGCTCTCTCCCTCGGAGTGGCTGGTGATTTTGAACTGCTGAAGTTAGCAGCCCCAACACATAACCCATACCACCACAAGGGCTCCTTTTTAGGAAACAAAACAAAACAAAAAAAAGGCCTGTCAATTTGCTTCTGTAAAGATTACAGGCAAAGACAACAACAACAAGCAAACAAGTTGAGATAGGAGGAAGTCTGTGGAACAGTGCTTCAACGTAACGCAGGGGTAGCCAGTAGCGGGGATTAATTGGACACAGAGCATAGCAACATGTGCACACCCCACACTCGGCCTGGGGGATGGACCAATGCATCAGATGGGATTCCTACCTTCCCCGGCCTCATCGTCTTGAGGGGGACCTAGCCCAGTGTGATAGGGTGTGGCCCTAAGGGAATGAAGATTGTAGGATTGGAAGGGCTCTAGTGTGGAGTGGAGTGGAGACACTACAGTATCACACAGCTCACTGAGGGCCATGGGCACTAGCCTTTACCCTTTGAACTGGCTACTTCAGGTTTCTCCTGCACACTGGTGGCTAAGGGCTATGTGGCCAGCTGTTGGGATTTGTTTAAAACATACAAGGAAGCTTGGACAGTCCAGGGAAACCGAACTGTATCTGTCCTGCAATCAAAGATCTAAAGAAAGAACAAAAAAGCCTGAGATTGAGCAACCTCCCCCCCCAAATAAAAGTGAGGGTCTTTGAAATTCCAGCAGCCTTTACATTCACCTCCACTTTAGCTCCTGGGGAGTCTAGGTGGGGAAGCCGGGTGATAGCTGCTGGCTTAGGGGACCCAGAGCATATCGTTTTCTGGCATCTGTGCCTGGGTTCTGCTCTAAAGGAAATATCCTCCTATCTCAGCGGTTCTCAACCTGTGGGTTGCAATCCCTTTGGGTATCGAACGACCCTTTCACAGGGGTTGCCCAATTCATAAAAGTAACAAAATGGCAGTTATGAAGTAGCAACGAAAATCATTTCATGGTTGGCGGGCACCACAACATGAGGAACTGTATGAAAGGGTCGCATTAGGAAGGTTGAGAACTACTGTCCTATCTTCTTTTAAGGACCAGATTTACACAGCACTTGCTGTTTCAAACCTTTCTTCCATTCTTTCCACCCAGAGTACCAGGATAGATAGCCTTGTATTTCCCGGGGGGGCTTCTTGTTTGGGGAATGCATGTACCTCATCCTGCCTTCTGCTAATTTATGCTGAGCCACACAGAGCCAGGCTCTTAAGAGTGAAGTCTTTGTAATCAGGCAGAACGCATCCAGATCTTGTTCTGCCTCAGAACAGTTTCACTTCTCTGAGCCTCCCTTTCCTCAACTGTGAAATGGGGCTAACAATAGCCCCACATGTTACAAGGTGGTTTGGGGGTTAAATGAGATCATGGTAAACATGGAAGATGCTCTCCAAAAAGGTCACGGTGACTAAGAGTGTACCAGTGGATGTGGCCCCAACTCCTCCCCACAACTCGTGAGCTCCCTGGTGGGGGCGTGGGGGTCGTCTACGGAGGAGTCTAAGTGGGCTCGGCTTTCTCCCTCATTGAGCCAGGCCAGGAAGTTGCCATTAACAGGAATGGTAGCTCATGGTGGGGTGAGAAACGGGAAATGCGGGAAATGCGCGCCAACTTCCAGGCTTGGAAAGGATGAGTTATTCATACTCCAGAATTTAAAGGGGGCAGGGGGCTTCCATGCCCCTAACCTTTGTAAGTGCTATCGTGTAACTTGGCTCCAGAACTGATGGTGGGGGGTGGGGTGGGGGGTTTGGGGCAGGTACCTTTCAGCCTTGGGTCTCAGTTTCCCTATGTGTGGCAGGTGGGTCTCCGGTCTTCTCTCAGGGTCGCATGGAGCAAACTGGATACTGGTTCCCGGGCTTTAGGAACGTGGCTCGGTGGCACAGCGCCGTGGGGTGGGAGGGGCAGGCGGGAGGGCTGGCGGCGTGGGGATTGGCTGGAGGCGGGGCAAGCCGTCTCAGGGATTGGCGTGATCCGGAGGGCAGGGCTGAGCCTTAAGAAGCACGGAGGGGGGCGTGCAGGCGAGAGCGTGTCTAGTTGGCCAGTCGGCTTTGCCAGTGGCGGCTCTGATTACGATCAGCGGAACCGGCGCGGAGAAGAGAGCGGCGCGGAGGCCCGCGAAGCAGAGGAGCATCCCTGAGTCCCGGTGGTAGCAGGCGGCTTGGCCCGCGGGTCATGGCCAAAGGAGAGGGCGCCGAGAGCGGCTCCGCGGCGGGACTGCTGCCCACCAGCATCCTCCAAGCCGGTGAACGGCCGGCCCAGGTAACAAATAAGGGCCCAGCACCCCGAGCGGAGGACAAGGGTTGGCGGGCTGGGCTGGCTTAGATGGAGACACAGCCTGGCCGAGGGTCAGCTTGAGATAGCCAGGGACCGGCGAACCCAGGGGTAAGATAGGGACTCAAGGGTGCTCCGGGGGCAAGGGGTGATGGAGAAGGTTTATAGGCACCGGTGCCCCCGCCCCCTCCATCGCCCCCAATCCACGTTTCTGCGGAGGGGCTCTACCGGCAGTTCCCCTTGGGGCTCGCCTCTGCCACATGGTTTTCGATTCTTCAGTGGTGAACCGATCGGGTTTTGCCACCCGTAGAGCGAGAAAGACCTCAGGAACCTGGGGAACCCCAAGGTTTCCCTCCTGAACCCCTGCCCCCTACCTGCTACCCACCGCTGCCTAGACTCCCTCGCCCTCCGCCAAGCTCAAGTTCATTCATAGGAAGGCGCAAAGGAGCCCCAGACCTCCCGCCGGTGTGAGTCTGTGTGTGTGTGTGTGTGTGTGCGCGCGCGCACTCTCGCCATGCAGCCTCCACCTCTGCCCCCTGTCCCAGCCCTCTGAACTGACAGAAATCAGGCCGGCCCAGGGAGGTAGATATCTTCCCGGGAGGTGGCCACCTTTCCTTCTTAAATTTTATTAGCGGATCCTTGTAAGGAGCTGGGGTGAGCAATTATGCTTCTGTTATGTATGAGTAATCTCTGGGCAACCCCAGCCTCCCTCATGCTCACCCTGAGTGACCTAGCCTATAGCCCTGCCCCTGGAGGCCTCTCCTCCTCCCTCCAAGATCCCCTAGGAACGGAGTGGGGATGGAGGGCAACTCCTGGGTTTGCTTGAGTTCTGGCTGTCACAGGGGCCAGGGACAGAAGGAAGACAGCAGTGCCCTCAGCCAGCTGGGCAGGTCCCTCCAGCTCTCTAGAGCTCTCACCCAGCAGGGCAGGAGCCCGGCCTGGGCTCAGGCAGCTCTTGGCTGCCAGAGGATTTTCGTGTTGTGACTGTTGGTGCCAGGTGGGGATAGGTTGTGTGCTGGAGCATGCTTCCCCTCTGTGGCTTGGGGAGGAGAGTACCTGGGAAGTGCTTACAGGATGGTGAACTGATAGCAGTTTCTTCCAAAATGGGAATAGGAGGGTACCTGAGGGTTCCTAGGACTCAAACAGACGCTCTTTTCTTCTGGGAAGAGGGATGATGCTCCCCAGGTGGGGAGGGGTGGGGAGAAGAGGACAGGGCAGAGTTGGTGTTCTGGTAGAGCAGGCGGAAGGGCTGCTGCTGCCTCGAGCACCTGCTATAGGATGGAGGAGGCCAGGGAACTTGGACCTATTTTCATTCTTTCCGCCTCTTCCCAGAAGGAACCCAAGAAGAAGCAACAGTTGTCGATTTGCAGCAAGCTCTGCTATGCCGTTGGGGGGGCCCCCTACCAGGTGACAGGCTGTGCCTTGGGGTTCTTCCTGCAGATCTACCTGTTGGATGTGGCTCAGGTGAGTGGGCAGAGCCCTCTAAGGATCTTCTAACATCCCTGAGGTAGGAAGGACTAGGGATCTCCATGGGTAGTTCACTCAGTGTTCCCATCTATGAAATGGGACTCAGAAACCCTACTCTACTGCCTCTCTGATTAACAGTGGGCTGAGAAATACGGAGGCTTTGGAAAGCATCCAGGAAGGGGGCTGGGGTTCTGTTCATCCCAGGAAGTCTTGGCTGGCAAGGTCCAACAACTCCTCCTTGCTTGGCAAGGGGCCAGAGGCTGGAGGCTAGGCAGTGTCTTCAGGAAAACGGGGCCTGCTGGTGACCCTGTTCTAGGAAGAGACTTGCACACCATGTCCCTGGCTAGCTGAACCTTGGCTGGCTTGACTTAGAGGTGGGTGAATATTGCCAGGTTGAGGGATGAGGCCCATTTCACCTTTACCTGAGGAGCGAAGGGCATGTCAAAGAGCAGAGGGACCCTCAGATGTAGGCCTGTGGGGTCTGCGTACACACACAGGGCTTTTGACTGAGAAGGACACTTTGGGGCAAGCAGGGCTCCTCTCTGCTTGAGAAGTCTTGGCCAGCAGCCTGGTATCCTGAGAATTCTTCTGCCTGGATGGGGGAGTGGGAGACTGAATAGCCATAGTGCCCAGGACTGACATTACAGACTGGTTTTCTATGTAGCATCTGACTGTGCAAGCCAGACATCTTATTTGTAGCCATTTACAGGTGGGGCACACTGAGCCCCAGAAGCATTCAGCAGGGCTGAGCCATGGGTGGAGGGGCAAAGCTGAGGAACCTACCATTAAAGCCTAAAACCATGTGGTAGTGCCAGACTGTGGGGTGGGGAATGCTTGATGTGGGGGAGGTCACCCATTTCCCAGCAGGGCCTTGATGGAGGGAAAAGCCCAGTGAGGCTATTTCGTCCCTGGAAGATTGGGGGGAGGGCGGGGGAGAGGGTTAGCTTGAGCCCATAATAACAGGCCACTTTAAAAAAAAAAAGACATCTATTAACTCCTTTTCCCACATCCAAGATAAAGTTTGTGTAAGATAGAGCTCGTCACTCCCTTTATACAGTGGGGAAACCGAGGACCACTGTTGTCACTCAGCTAGTGCTAGCTTTTGATATCAGGGCGCTGAGAGGAACGGAAGGAAAGGATTCTGGGTTTGTTCTCATTGGTCGGCGTGCTTTCCAGAACAACAGAGGGGTGGCACAAGGGGCTGGAACTGGGAAGCATCTAAGGAGGCATGCAGTGCATTATGATGAACAAGGCCAGTGAGGGTGTTTAAGGCCTGGGTGAACCACATAGAGAACCAAGGGGCCGGCTGAAGGAGGGGAAGGAGCACCCTGCTTCTCAAGTCCAGAGGGACAGGTAGGGCACCCCGGCTTTAAGAACATTTGCTCTATGCCACTGTGCTTTTATGGAAGACCTGCATTATAGCTTGCTTTCACTTATTGAAAGAAATCCCAAAAGAATTTTTGCTTTTAGAAAAAGAGGCAAAACAGGAAACTGCATTTGCTTCGCAGGGTACTACACAATACACGGGTTCTGCTTTATAGACAGCTTCTCATGCCACTCTTGATTTTACAGTATGTTAGCGTTATTTGGTATTAAGTGGGTAGGAGGCTGGGAATTTTGAGAGGCTGGGAATACTCAAAAATGTTTCCTATATAAATTTACGGTAATTGCGTCTTTAGGCCATTTTGGCTTGGGAAAGGTTTCCTGAGCATACTCTACTTTCAGATTGGGGGCAGGGGGGTGGTGCTGTAGAAGGATCAGAGGGCCATCTTTTGCTTCTTCTCTTTTCCAGGTGGGCCCCTTATCTGCCTCCATCATTCTGTTTGTGGGACGAGCTTGGGATGCTATCACGGACCCCCTGGTGGGTTTCTTCATTAGCAAATCCTCCTGGACCAGCCTGGGCCGCCTTATGCCCTGGTGAGTAGAAGAAGCTCCTTTGAGGTACTAGAAGGTGAAGCTGCCAGCACTTGGCACATCTGTCTCTTGTTCTACCTTGTCACAAACTGCGGAGCAAGAATGACGCAAAAGCCCAAGCATGTCGAAACTGCATCTGAAGCCTTGGCCACCCCAGGCACTAGCACTGAGGTTCCCGCCAGTTCCTTTCCAGGTTGACCCAAGGACTAGACTGGGCAGCTTTCCCAAGTGGGGTTCCATTGTTCCCCAAGGCCCACTCCCCTGGAGTTCTAACTTATTTCATTTAATCATGTCCCATAGTGGTGGGAGCCAATCTGTTTGAATCCTAGCTTTATCACTTACAGTTGTGCAACCTTGGGCCAGTCACTTACCATCTCTGAACCTCAAGTTTCTGCATCTTTAAAATGGAGATAATAATCGCCTAACTCACAGGGAGGATTAAATGTGCTTCAGGTTTGTATATAAAGTATTAGACTAGTTCTTGGCGTATATTACCCGCTGCTGTTGAATCAATTCTGGCTCAGAGCGGCTCTGTGGGACTGCCCTCTAGAAGTTTCTAAGGCTGACATCTCAACAGAAGCAGAAACCCTTATCTTTCTCCCTTGAAGCAACTGGTAGACTTGAACTGTCAACCTCATGGTTGGCAGCCCAGTACTTATTCCACCATGCCACCAGGACTCTTTAACATAATTTGCAGTGATCTATATTTGGGCTAATTTTTCTTCAGGGTGGTGGTGCAGAGGCAGTACCAAGAATGGAATATTCCACTCACTGTTGCTGAGTCTATTGTGACTCATAGCAATATCGGATAGGGTATAGGACAGAGTAGCACTGCCCCCGTGGATTTCTGAGACTATAAATCCTACAACAGTAGAAAGCCTCACAATCACTGCTGGATTCAAACCTTTGGCCTAGTGGTTAGCAAACCGACTTGTAATCCATTATGCCAGCACGGCTCCTTAAGAATGAGATAGCGGATCACTAACCTCTGGCCTCTTGGGCCCTGTGGTGTAGAGCCTCCATTGCAGTCTCAGGCAGTGGGGCTGGTGTGTGTGTGTGGGTTTACGGTGGTGGAGGGGGGCCGATCATATCAGACAGTAGGAGCCACAGGCTGACAGGCCGGAGCTCTGGTTCCCTACAGGACATCCTGCTTTGGAGGGTGGTGGGGGACCATACCCCTTTCATCTGCAGCCCATCCAGGCTCAAGTGGGCGCCTTCCTGCTCCAGGGGCGTCCATACCTGGTCTCCGGCCTTCAAAGCTCTTCCCCAAGGCCTCCACTCCCGCCTCAGCTTCCTTTCCCACGAGGGCCCCCTCCCACCCCAACCCCGCCAGCTCCTGGCGAAGGCCCAGCCTGGAGCCTTTGATCCAGGCTCCAGGCTCTAGGGTAGCACAGCCTGCCTTACCTGGCTCCCCTGGAGCCAGCCTGCTAGGCTGGGCCCTGTGCCTACCTCCCTGGAAGCCCGTGGGAGGTGGGGCTCTGCTGCCACATCTCCTCATGGGGTCCAGCCAATGAGAGGCAGCTGCTTAACCAGCCCAGCCCTGCAGCAGCCTGGGTTACTCGCAGTCACATTTGGTTGGTTCCTCAGCGGTGGCAGCTCAGCTGCCTGCGAGGAGAGGATGGAGGAGGAGCCCTTGCGCTCTGAGGAGACACATGGATTCAGAAAAGGTGGTGGTGGAGGGGCAGGATGGGGAGAGCAAAGGAGGCCCTCCCACGGAGAGGAAGAGATGGGCTCTCCCTGGGCAGGTGTAGCAGCCTTATTTTATTAGCAAGGCTCTGTACATGTCCTCACCTGACTGGTGCAGGAGTACGTGTCTCAGTGAGAGTATACAGCTGTCACTCATGGACTGACGAGCTGCCAGGTGTGTGCCCTGCTCCCTGCCTATAACTTAGTTATAGGCAGAGCCCCTCTTCAGGCCAGGGTACCCTTCCCACTTCTCCTTTAGCAATATAAGGAGGCTGGGACCCTTAGCCCACATTCCTTGTGACTCCCTCCTCCTTCCAGGATCCAGGTACACGCACACCCTACCCCACCCCCGAACCTGTATTTGAAACCTCACCTAGACCAGAAAGATGTTGATGGACACTCCTTGGAACTTCCCAAGGTCACCCCAAGAGAGGCAAGGTGTCAAGCCACACAGGAAAACCAGAGGGCAGTAGGGCTGGACCTCAGGGCTAACACCTTGCCTACACCCTGGCCTGCAGGCCAGCCCTGGGTACCTCTGTGCCCTGTTTTCCATGGTGGCCTTTTATTATCAACCCAGTTAAACCTCAAAACCATCAATGAAGTCAAAGTAAAGTCTTTGCCATGGCCCAGAAGGACCTCTGGGCACTATTGTCCCATTCATTCCCTCTCAGGCCTCATCTCCTAATTCCACCCCACTGCCTCCCGGTGGCTCTTCAGATGTGCCAAGCACGCTACTACTTAGGACCTCTGCTCCAGTAGCTCCCCTTGCCAGGCATGTCTTGCCTCAGACGTCTGCATTGTCTGCACTCTCTCATTCAGGCCTTGGCACAAATGTTCCCTCCTCGAGGACTACCCTGTCTGTCCTGCTGGGACTTGCATCCTCTAACGCACTTCCAATCCCCTTTGCTCCACTTTCTTTTCTCTATAGCCCCTGTCACCTTGAAACACACTCAGTGAATTTTCCATTAGCCCGATTTCCTCTGCCAGATTTTTATCCGCTCTGTTCACTGCCATATTCCAAGTACAGTCCTGCCCAGCCCAGCCCTGGCATTTAGTAAATACTTCTTGAGTAAAAGGGCGGAATGGAAGGTAGATGCTACTATTGCCTTTGTTGTCCAGATAAGTAAATGAACCCCAGAGAAGTTCAATGGCTTGCCCAGGAGAGAGCTATTTATAGTGAACTGACTGAGCCAGAATTGCTGGAGTAGAAGCCTGGCCAGGGGCCATTGCGCTCTGCTGCCATCCAGAAGGGAGCCCCTCCTGAGGGCTCAGTACCTGTAATTGTGTGGGACTCCCAGGTGGGGAGACCGACACTTTCTTCTCTGATAAGCCCAGTGGCTGCAACAATGGCTTCCAGCCTGACAGTTGGGAGGATGGTGCAGGAATAGTGGTGCTCTGTTCTGTGGCGCATGGGGTGACTATGAGTCAGAAACGACTCGGCCCGAGCAACAACAAGAACAACAACAACAACACGGTTTCACTAGGTCCAATCCTCCCACCTGACTTCTCTAGTCTCCACTGTCTCAGAGTAGGCCTGTCCCAACCCAGCCCAGCTTCCCACTGTGTGGAATAAGGACTGGGGCATGTGGCCTCTCCCTCTCCCTGCCCCACCTGAGGTCTTGAGTTCCATGGTTAGCTCCCCAGGCTGTAGAAAGCCCTCCTCTCTGAAACTCTTACTCCTAGGGAGACATAGCTGAGCTTCAGTCCCCTCTTCTCCTGTCTGGTCTGACCACCAGCCTCTTCTCGGAGGCCCTGGGGTGGATGAATTCAATTCAGGGGGGAAGGCATTTCCTTCCAGACAGGCTTCCTGAGGGCCGCTGCCTTTCAGGCAGTGTCAGGCCCTTGGGGCTCTGGCATCCAGCCAGCTCAGACACTCCCTTCTTCAGGATCATCTTCTCCACACCCCTGGCCATCATCGCCTACTTCCTCATCTGGTTTGTGCCTGACTTCCAGTGGGGCCAGGCTCTGTGGTACCTGGTTTTCTACTGCCTCTTTGAGATGCTGGTCACGGTGAGTGTAAGCACCTCCCCTGGATGCTTTCGGGGGGCGAAGGGGTGGAGAGGATCATCCCCGGGTGGACCCCAGGGTGGGTGCCTAAAACCGAGTTGGTCTCCATCCCTCTGACTGGCCGAGGGCCTCTCTTCCATGCCAGTGTTTCCACGTTCCCTACTCAGCTCTCACCATGTTCATCAGCACGGAGCAGAGTGAGCGAGATTCTGCCACCGCCTACCGTAAGCCTCCAGACCCTCCAGACCCAGGGGTCCTCCCCTCCCAGACCCTCTTGTCCCTGGGGCCCTGCTCCCCACTCTTCGATTGAGAATGGGCGTTTGACTCCCTCTTAGTGTTCAGGTGAGGGGTGGGGAGCTAGAACTAGCCAGAGGCCATGCAGAACCAGGAGGTGAGTCCCACTCTGCGTGCCACCACCCTTGCCGCTGCATACTCTCCCCACCTGCGGCTTCCATCACCCACCTTGGGCCTCGAGCTGATTCCCATCCATCTGCTCTTCCTTTCTGGGGCCCACAAGCCATTCAGCCCCTCCCAAGGACCTCTTTCTACCCATCCAGGGATGACTGTGGAGGTGCTGGGCACGGTGTTGGGGACGGCCATCCAGGGGCAGATTGTGGGTCAAGCAGATACGCCTTGTCTTCAGGACCACAACAGCTCTGGGATGGCTTCAGTTGCTGCCAACCGCACACACAGCACCTCCGCCGTGCTCAAGAAAACGGTGAGGACTCCTCGCAGGGCAAGGGTATGGGGAGATGGAGATGAGAAGCTAGGGAGGTGGTTTGCAGTAGTTATCCTAGAGATCACAATGATAACCAGCGGTTATGGACAGCTGGGCATTTTATGTGCATGGCTGTTGATATGTCTACTTTGCTGATAAGGAAACAGGCTTAGAGAGGCCAGTCATCTTCCGAGGGTCACGCAGCTAGTTAATTGCAGAGACCAGATGTGGCCTGGGGGGCATCAGACTCTAGTCTGGCTTCTCATCTCAACTTTGCACAGTGGTGGGAGGCCGCCTTGGGATGATTCTTCCATTTCCCAGAGGGAGACAGTGATGTCCCAAGAGGAAGAGGGGGTGGCCCAAGGTCTTGGTGTTGGTCCACGGCACGTTGGGAGATCAGACTGACTGTCTCTGTGCTCTTCACTCCCTTTATAGCAAAATGCATACCTGTTGGCAGCAGGGGTCATTGCCTCCATCTATGTCATCTGTGCTGTCATCCTGACCCTGGGCGTGCGGGAGCAAAGAGGTGAGGGGGACTCTCGGGAAAGATGCAAGCAAAAGATGACTGTGCCCGCATGGTTTGGGCCTTGGGTTCTGGGAGGGGCTTCCTCCTCATTGTCCTCTCTGACCCCCAGAGCCCTCCGAGGCCCAACAAGCTGAACCCATGTCCTTTTTCCGGGGCCTCCGGCTGGTCATGAACCATGGCCCATATGTCAAGCTCATTGCCGGCTTCCTCTTCACCTCCTTAGCCTTCATGGTGAGTTGGGGACCTCACGTGACCGTAGGGTGGGCCTAGGCCTCAGGATGCCGTGCAGCCTGAGAGATAGGTGAGGTGAGCCTGAGGAGCATCTAGGGGAGGCTCAGCCTTAACTTCACCTCCTCCTTTGTCTTCCCTAACCCCCGACTTGGCCCCATTTCCCAGCTGGTGGAGGGGAACTTCGCCTTGTTTTGCACCTACACCCTGGGCTTCCGCAACGAATTCCAGAATCTCCTCCTGGCCATCATGGTGCGTATGGGGCCCAAGGGTATGGACTGCAGGTTCTGAGCCAGCCCCCAAGCTCAGGAAGAGATGAGGGAGGCTTCCAGGGGCTTGATTGGACTCGACTGGTGTACAGTGTGACAGAAAGCGTCGGGTTGGGTATTGAGAGTCAGCAAGGGCAAGGTGTGAAGGGCAAGCTTTTGTGGCGTGCAGAGGTGTGGAAAGGTGGGCGATGAGATCAGGATTGGATGCCAGCTCCCCTGGGAGCCCTCCGAGGTGCATGTCACCTTCCCATTTCCAAACTGATGACATCTTCCGGTGACCGCTGTTCCAGGCTAGGAGCATCTTTGGGGTTGCTGGGAAGGTTCAGCAGGGGGCGGTGGGGTGGTTTCTGGCGTCCTCACCCATTTCATCCACTCACAGCTCTCGGCCACATTGACCATCCCCTTCTGGCAGTGGTTCCTCACCCGCTTTGGCAAGAAGACCGCCGTGTACATTGGGATCTCAGTGAGTGGGGCTGGAGGGGGGCAGCCTTGTGCCTGGCTCAGAGGTTCCCCGAGGGAACCTCCTTAGCTGACCTAGCTTCCCACCCCCTCTCCCCCAGTCAGCAGTGCCGTTTCTCATCTTGGTGGCCCTCATGGAGAGTAACCTGATTGTCACGTATGTGGTAGCAGTGGCAGCCGGCATCAGTGTGGCCGCTGCCTTCTTGCTGCCTTGGTAAGTATGGGTAGGCCCAACTGGGTCAGGGCTTCTCAGGGAAGAGCCCCGAGGTCCTTTGCTACTCCCAAACCTTTCTGGGGCGCCAGCTCACCTGGGGCAGGGGAGGGGGCGGGGGCGGTTGCGCAGGTTGTGGACTGCGAGAATCCCCAGCCGAGGTAGTAGATGAGAGCTAAAGTTTGGCTTGTGCTGCATTTGCCAAGCGAAGCACCAAGAGCGACTACTTCAGCTTGGAGGAGGGTGGGGGGACGGGTCTACTTTTTGAATTCACGTGAAGGTACCACCTGCTCACGGAGCTGTGTCCCTGGGGGCTGCAAGCTTCCAGAGGCCCAGCCCTGCTCCTTGACACAGAGGCAGCGGGTGAACTAGCAGGGAGGCTTCTGGAACTGCCAGGTGGTGGGTCTTCATAGCGGCCCCCCCCACCCTGCCCAGGTCCATGCTGCCTGATGTCATTGATGACTTCCATCTGAAGCAGCCCCAGTCCCATGGCACTGAGCCCATCTTCTTTTCCTTCTACGTCTTCTTCACCAAGTTTGCCTCGGGAGTCTCGCTGGGCATCTCCACTCTCAGTCTTGAGTAAGTGGGGTGGGGGGACCTGGAGTTGGGCAAGGCTGGGCTGGGCAGGACCCAGCCCCAGGGGCCCCCTCCTCACTGTCTCCCTGCCCACTGGGCCCACAGTTTCGCTGGGTACCAGACCCGCGGCTGCTCCCAGCCGAGGAGGGTCAAGTTTACACTGAAGATGCTGGTGACCATGGCGCCCATTGTCCTTATCCTGCTGGGCCTGCTGCTCTTCAAGCTGTACCCCATTGACGAGGAGAGGCGGCGGCAGAATAAGAAGGCCCTGCAGGCTCTGAGGTGAGAGCGGGGAGGAGCAGCAGAGGGGGGGGGGGGCGCCATTTAACCCAAGCCCTCAAGTCAAAGAAACCTGGCCAGTGGCCAAGCCCAGACTTTGCTCCAGCACATCTTCTCTTGGCAGTCCCTCATTAGCCCCTTTCCCTGCCAGTTCTTACAGCGGCTAACACTTTTTGAGCATTTAATTATGTACCAGATGCTGTGCTGAGTAATTTTTCATTTATTCATGCCACAAATTATTAGTGGATGCCTACGTGCCCTAGCCTTGTTCTAGCGAACAGATCAGGCCAAGTCCCCGCCCTGGTGGAGTGTATGTTTTAGGGGCTATGTTCAGGAGCTCCTGCTATCCTCCACCAACTCTTGGGGTCAGAAACTCCTGTGATCCCAACGCACTTTGCAGATGAAGAAACAGGCCTAACCAGGAAGACTGACTGGCCCAGCTAATAAGAAGTAGAGCTCGGGTTGGAACCACTGTGTTCTGACTCTGGGGTCCCCCGGTGGTGCTCACAGTTAAGTATGTGACTGATGATTAACCCAGAGGCCCTTCACTGGAAAGGCCTGGTGATCTGCTGCCAGAAGGAAGGCCACTGCCTTGAAAATCCAGTTCTACTCTGCACACAAGGGTTGGCCATGAGTCAGATCCAACTCAACAGCAAGTGTGTGTGTGTGTGTTCGGATTTTTTCAGAGCCGCTCCTCCTGGCCTGCAGGATCTCAGGTGTGGCTTTAAGCTTTGCCTCTGAGGAGACATGAGGGCAGGGCGGAGTGAGTGATGGCAGGCCACAGCCTGGCCAGGTCAGATCAAAGTCTAGGCAATTAGGATGCCCTGTGGGCACAACAACAGCAGGCAGCGTAACGAGCAGTTTTGAGGAGTGAGCCAGTTGCCACAACCTGTGGTTTAGAATGATTTGATTGTTGGCGAAGGCTGCCAAAGCAGGATCCCTGGAGGGAGGGATGAGGACAGAAGCAGGTAAGGAAGTTTCTTCCAACTGTCTGCTCTGGCTCTGCAGGGACGAGGCCAGCAGCTCAGGCTGCTCCGACACAGACTCCACAGAGCTGGCCAGCATCCTCTAGGGCCTGCTGTGGGTCCTGAAGTCACCATGCACAAGGCCTGGGTCACCAGGCCGCACAGGGGCCACAGGTTGCTCGTCCATTCACTGAACAGCTAACACCAGGTGCCAGGAAGGAAGCCGAAGACTCAGGAGGGAGCAGCCCAACACACCTTCAGTGCCTAATATGGAGCAGGTGGTCCAACTGCCTGCTTCCCTCTGCCAGCCCACAGGCTGCTACTGTGAATATGCCAAGGGCTGCTCGGGCCTAGCCCGTAACACTAATATAGAAACATTTTATACAGAGACTAATTAATAACTTAATGACTGTATATAGTAGTATGTTTGTATGTATATGTCTGTGAGCTATTAATGTTATTGATTTTCATAAAAACTGGAAAATGGGGCTGCACGTTTCTGTCATTGTTCTCAGCCACTTGAGTGCCTCTAGCCCAAGACTCAGACCGGGAGTGGGAACAGAAGTCAGAAGTGCCATGGGATGGGATGGGCTGGGATGGGACAGTATGTCTGGAGATGTAATGATTATCAGCCGCTAGCGTCCACAAACCACCTATTCTATACGTTCCCTTTGACGGGTCTCATCTAATCAGCATTAGCTCCTCTTAAAAGAGAAGGACATGAGGATCCAGAATAGAGGGAGATGACTCAAGGCATGCAGTAAGGAGTGACCTAACTGGAATTCCCACCCCAGGGTGGGTGACATGGGAGTACTTCTGCCACCACTCTCTGAGAAGCAGCAGTGCTCCGCCCGTGCCCATATGCTGTGTCCTGCCCTGGGCCTGTCTGAGCATGTGTGATGCCGGCTGTGCTGCTGCTGACTTGAGACTTTGTGATTGGGTCCCTGGGAACGTGTGAATCTTTTCCCACAACTCTCACTGACAGTGTTGAAGAAGGTACCTGGCAGGGGCTGGGGTTGTGTGGGAGAGGATGTCTCACCACTGGTGTGCTGGTTTAAAAAAAACAACGGGGGGCCAGACCCAATCCCAACTACTAAGTGGACACCTACCCCTTTCCCCAGAAGAATTTATCTCTAAGGACGCCATTGAATCTGCAGCTCCCGGAGAGGGACATATCTGATCAGAGCACACAGGAGTAGATGAAGGGGGAGGAGGAGAGAGTGGAGCACATCCTGGCCCACAAGGCCGTGAAGATGATGTTCCCTATTAGAGCAGCCAGTCCACAGAGAGGACTGCATAGCTGGTCCCACTATGAGACATGACGTCCCTCACTGACCCATAGCCCTATAGGGGACAACACCGGAGACACAGTGTGGGAATTGCACCCAATCTGATCCTGCCACACCAAGGCAAAACACTAAGGGGGTGCAACAGAACAGCAAGGGAACTGAGCGGTGAGGTCCTCCAGGAATGCTGAAGGTGGACTTTGGGGCCAGGGCATGGTGCCCCAACAGACTGGACTGGAAAACAGTCCTAAAGGCCAACAAACAGTCCTTGAACTAACTACTAGCTTTCTTTCTTGTTGTGTTGTGTTTTGTTTGTCTTGGTTTGTTGTTGTTTTGTTGTATATTGTTGCTTGGTTTTGCTCTGTCTTGCTTTTGTGCATGTTATTATCTCTGCAGGTCTGTCTAAATAAGATAGGCTGGATGAACAATCTGGTGGAGAAAACAATGGGACTGACAGTTCTGGGGAAACATGGGAGGAGGGGAGGTGGGGGGAAAGGTAGTGGTGTTAACAAACCCAGGGACAAGAGAACAACAAGTGATCCAAATCGGTGGTGAGGAGGGTGTGGGAG